AATGTTTGGTCTTATATTTATATTAATTCTGGTATCATTTTTATAATTCTCTATGGAACCCAAATTTTACTAAAGTTTCATTTACTTTTCATTGTCAACCCTAGGTTATCTTCTGTTTTCACATTTTCCTAAAAATTCTGTCACTCTAACAAAATGACTTTAGAATTTGTGTTAATTACAAGATGCAAGTTACTTCCACAGTATAAGCGACTAATGTGCAATTAAGGACTTTGCTCCTACAATTCTTTCCTCTCTAGAATTACCCATTTTCAACTATCTACTGGATTATTCTTGACAGAATACAAGTATGCTATACTACCTCCCTGTTTTAAAATCCCTCCTTCCACAGCTCCAAAGCTTTCCTCTACTACTCTTTCCGGCAAAACTACTCCAAAGAGCTATTTAGACTTTCAGTCTCTCTCCTCACACCTCCGGTCCGAACACAAACTCACTTCAGTCGGTCCTCGGTCCTCACCACCCCAGCACACTGTGCCACCAATGAACTCTACCCCCCACCAAATGCTTAATTCTTAGTCCTTGTTTTATGTGGCCCCTTAGCAGCTAATGATACAACTGATGGCTCCCCCTTGGAATACTCTTCAGTTGCATTCTCCTTACTGCTCTTCTTCTTACCTGATTAGCAGACGAGAAGGAAGAAGGAAGGGAGGTAAGAAGGCAGGGAGGGAGACCCTAAACACCCCTACTCTTTCATCAACGCAGTAACAAAGCCAAGAACAACTTTGCTTGTGATCTAGGACCCTCTATGCTTTCTGCTATTAAATATCTGTAAAAATTGATGAAAATCTGTAAACTCTACCAAAAACTTCCCCAGGCTGGGGTAAAATTCCTTTACGAGGTAAAATAATCCCTTAGGGTCTTGTTTATAAATAACATGTTTCAGGTAACCGAGTGTGGGCCAGAGCAGTCTAGTGGCTGTTCCTTCTGCATGGAGGGTCTTCTACCTTTCAGCACTATCATTTGGAGGGATTATCTGCTACTTTGTCCTTTTGATATCAAGCAAAGAAAAAAAGTATGTTCACCCAGGGCCACATCAACTTCAAGGTTGCCTTCAAAGGGCCGAATGTACTTTTAGGACTGTATAAATGTGACTACTCCTTAACAGTTAAGCAAGAGCTCGGTGCTGCCGCCGGGCACAAAGTGCCAGGCCGGATGAAACAAGGTGGAGGGCTGGATTCCGCCTGTGGGCCTTGTGTTTACCACCTGTATTTCAGACTAATATTCTTTACATTCTTGGATCGGCTAAAATACTGTCATTTCACACCCTTTGTTGCTAGTCAACCATGACCACGTGGAGGTTTCACCCGACATCCCCAAACTAGAACCACCTCTTCTGGGCATGACAGTAAAAACATTTCTTCCAACCGTATAATAACACCCACCATGAAAATACTTTAGTCAAATACTACTTTCTCTATCTGCAATTAAAATTAAACTCTGCCCTGGGCAAATCCATCGCTAGTCTACGTTTTCACCCAACTGTCTATAATTACCAGTTATTTGTACAATTTGTTGTTTAGTATCCATATCTCCTAACAGATTATAAACATTCAGGTGGAAACAGCGACTGTTTTGTCCAACACTCTACCCCTGGTGCCAGTAAAAGGCCTAATGCATGAGAGATGGGCAGTAAGTGACGGTCCACAAAGGTTCGAGTCATGCGCTACGCTACCTCAGACACGGGTGTGTCCACTGACAGCCCTTTGTGTGCTGTGACGGGTGGCGACCCGCTTCTCTACCAGAGACCAGGTATGTCACACCAACGCTGATCATCTACATTGCTGTGAGTGAGTTTGCTACTCTTATTCCTAGCATTTTGAAAATCCAGCTCCTTTACCGTGTTTTCTTTTGCTCATCCAAACCAGATACACAAGTCCTAAGTGGGAATGGAAACAGGAGCTGCCGTTATCGCTCAGCCACTTCACTGCTGGCCTGGCGCCCGGCTGCATACGTGCAGCACAAGGACCTGAGGAATTCCTGAAACGCCCTTTCCTCTGTTCACCCTGGGAAGGAGGCAAACCTCCTCCGCCAGACACTTTTACCGTCATCTCATCAATCAGGGAAACAATTAAAAAACTTGTAAAATGCTGTACGCAATATTTGCAGAATATAGTGATTATAAAAACTTAATATAAACTAATAAAAATAGAAAATATGGGATGTTTCCAGACAATTTCTCATACCAAACTCTCATCCCTTACAATTTGTCGTAGTAACAAATTTGAGAGGCATTTCTATGTTACTGGGCGCAGTTTCTCATTTTTAAATTCAGTAAGTTTATTCCCTCCAACTTTCTGTTTTTATAAGACAGAAAAAAATTCTGAACATTATTGCTTCATGTATTTGGCAGGAGAGGTAATAATTATAAATAACTGCAAACATTTATGGATAGTTAATCAACACTAGACATTTATACATAAGCTCTTACTTAATCTTCCCAAGAATCTCCAAAGATCAGTCCTGTTTTCAATCCCATTTTATCACTGAAGACAACAAAGATTAGTGAGATTAAATAACTTTCCCAAATGCAAAGCTGTAAATGAAAGACCTAGAATTCTAACTCATCTATTCTTGATTCCAAATCTCAGTCTCCTCATGTCCACCTCTCAGTCCAGTGTGTTCATGATTATAGGAAAATTTATTTTTGATATGAAAAATTTTGAGTAAAAAACACTGCATGTAACTAATAAATATACTCATGTAGAGAACAAATAACATCCTTAGCTTTAACAAATTAGTCTGCAAAGATGTATTTTCCAGAAAATTAAATTTTGGCAATATACTTTATATGTTATATACTTGAAATGAAAATAATCTCTCTGCCCTGGCTAGTGTGGCTCAGCAGACTGAGTGCCAACCTGCGACCAAAGGGTAGCTGGTTCAATTCCCAGTCAGGGTACATGCCTGTGGGCTGGGTCCCCCAATGGGGGCATGTGAGAGGCAAACAATTGATGTTTCCCTCCCTACTCCTCTCTCTAAAAATAAAGAAATAAAACCTTTAAAAAAATAACCTTTCCTATAAAAATGATAATAGCAAATAAAAGAGGTATCTCTTTTTTCCTTCATTAGTGCATCAAAATGATAAAAAAGACATGAGCAATGTTAAAATGCTTATCAATCAATTTTAAAATAAAAGCAATATTTCCCTTAAGTGGTATCTCACAAAGACTGGATTCTATGGCATACATATATACAACATATAAAATAATGTAACATGTAAGGTTATATTCTTGCTATTTGCTAATTCCTAATTCTTAAAAAAATTATAAAAACATCTACAATTACTATACTGCACACCTGAAACTAATACAAAATAATATTAAATGTAAAAACTATAATTTTAGAAATTTTAAAAAGAAAAACAGAATAGGAGGAATTAAAGTAGAATTTTAATGGGTATGGAATAAGTTGGGGGGAAAAAAGTCCAAAATGGAATATAATAAAAACACCTATAACTATAAGAGAAAATAAATACCTAAGATGTCATCAGTTATGCTGTTATTCAAATCCATTAGCTCATTTTGATCAGAAGCAGCAGAATATCAAAGAGAGTTCAGCTCAAGTGAAAACCCGTCAAGAGGCTCCTCCCTCCCTCTTTTTCTTCAACCTATTCATAAAGAGCGTGATGGCACCAGCTCCGGGCCTTCGCCCAGAACAGCACAAAAGAGAAATTGTCAGGTAAGCGCAGTGTCTACCTCTCAAGATTGCAGTCTCAAATTGGACTGCTGTGAGTCAAGAAATATTTCACTTGCTAAAACTGGGAAGGTGAAATTTACTTCCTGTGCTACAAAAAATCTCATAGCATTACTCATAAACACTACCTTGCCAAACGTGAATGTGCAATCTTGTAGTATATGTTTGCAAAAATTTCTCTAAGTACATAATCAAACGTTATTCCTATGTGTTGAAGGCAACTCCACACAAGAACCTAAACAACTGTGTTTACTGGCATTTTATGAGATGGCAGTGTTTTATGTATTCACCAATCATATTTTAATTATGGGCCTCAGCAGTAACATGGTTTTCAAAGCAAAAAGTAATACAACATAAAGTCTCAACTCTTCATTATTTCTAAGTTCTGAAGACAAAACACATACACATGTATTCAGTTTAAAAGAGAATGAATCAACAGTCATGGGATCGTGGGCAGTTTATATTTCTTCTACAGAAGGGTGCCTTACTTTTTAGGTTCATGGAAAAGAAAGAAAACAAAACTCGGTTCTGTTACAAGTTCCTTCTAGTAAATTGGGGGAAAAAGAACTTAGAAGTAAATACATAATTTCATGATCAACTATAAACAATCATGCATAATTAACTACCTAGGTATTATTAAATATTCCCTTCTAACCCCTAGAAGGGAATATTAATATTGCATGTTGCAATATTTCCATCATACTGAGACATCCCACTATTTAAAATAATAACAACTTAAAACTTATATAAGAACTTAAGCTACGTGATATTTTTGTAGCCAAACACTTAACTTGAAAATTATTTTAATGGCCAATTAATTTACAAGTTATGTAAAAGTGAATGATCAGATTTCAAACATTACAGCTTCATGGCATTTTATATCATTGTCATCCATATAGATTCCAATCTGAACTACTGCAAGAACAAACATATCGATTCACTTTTTAAAATTTCATAATGGATCATTTCTATGAGGGATTTATGCATTTATACTTAAACGCAGTTACATTAACTATGTATTATCCTTCCCATCTGGGTATTTGAGGGTGAACGCTATTTTGCAAATTTTGGTATCTGAATTCTGACATTAAATGGCTTTATACATAAAATAGAGACTAAGTACTAGTGAATCATATAGTTTAGCTCATACCCTCAGTGGCTCTGTGTTGATGGGCATAGAACCTGTTTGCATGTAGTGTATTTGCATATGATTTAGGGTGCACTCACTGAATGAAAGAGCAGTTACCTCTAGTGCTGAAATAAATCAAGGCTTCACTCATGAGCCTTACCTTTGCCATGACTTCTTCCATCCTCCAAAAGCGGCACTACAATAGTGTTGTTCACATTTCCAGGTGAGCGCACGGCTGTGTAGACAACAGGCACCGACTGTACCACCACGGGGATGCGGTGAACGTGACTCAGTTTGTTAGACTGTAAATTCATGGGACTTGAAGGTGGTACGGGATGGATAATGTGCAAAAACTGCTGGCCTCCCACACCAGATGCAGAGGCAACAAGGGGCCCTGGAGTTAATACTGTTGACGAAGATGATGCTGAAGATACTGATGTTATAACAGTTGGGGATGAGGCTGGACGACTAGAAGACGATGAGGAGGTTGAAGTTGAAGAAGGTGAGGAGGCAGACGCTGTCATGGAAACCGGGGAGGATGAAACGGCGGTGGGGGATGTCCTGGCTTTGTTGATGGACAAGTCCACTGGCTCAGTTTGTGTTTGGAAGTGATCTACAGACAGTGAGTCCTCCGGGGGCTCCCCTTTCACGTTATTCAACAACAGGGGGACGGCTTCCATATCGGGGTAGTTGTGGACGTTTGGAGACTGTGGGGAGAAAAATGGAACACATATTTATCTTTGTTAATAGCTCATTTTAATAGACACAAGGTTTGTTACTGGAAAGATCATCAATTTTTCTCTTATTGCTACAAGACATTAATTTGGGCCCCAAATATGTCAAGGATGGCCATGTGACTATCATCATGACTGAAGCTGAGAGCACAAAAGTACAAAAGAGTGAGAAACAGCCTCTGCTCCAAAGACATGCTCATCCTGTTGGGAGAGACAGGCACTGTTGTTAAAATCCAGTGACAGTGGGCTGATTGCGGGAGCAGGGAGGTATAAGGGCACTAAATGGTAATAGAAAAAACACAATATGAAAATATTAAAACATGAAGTAAGCAGCTAGACCATTGAAGAGTGGAATAAGTGCATTATGGAGGAGTAAGTATGCCCCAGGAACCTAAACATGAACAGCAATTTTACAGAAAATTTTCTAGAAGTTCAGTATGTAAAGCATTATCTATCTACTTTAAATTGTATACATGCAATTTGTTTAGTTAAAAACATTCATTTTGTTGGTTTGACCCACCCTTGATTTATGGGTCTCAGTTTCCTCAGTCATAAACTAATGAAATTCTGATTAGATGACCTTAAACATAGTTCCAGGTCTAGGTTCTACAATTCTATAATCTGACCCTTACCCAACATTATTATAGTCTGAAGGCACAATGTTACCTGGCAACAGTACTGGCAAACCTTCATATTTGGGCAAAGAGCTACCGTACAATTCTCCTGAGCATTAAAAAGGGGAACAGCATTCTCGCACCTCCCATACCTACCTACTATGTTGTTAAATACAAATCATTTCTAATAGTTGGATTATAACTTAACTCTTAATGATGACATTTTTTTCCCTCAAAAATAACATACAGAACCACTATAATATACCTTTCAGGAAATAATAATTTCAGAAAAAACTTTTTTCTGGAAATTTTAAATTGTCTATGACTGTTTTGTTTACCTTAAGATAATGGTAATAGTTTTGACCAAGTTCAATTTCATTCTTTTAAGTTGCAATAAGTAAAACATACTATTACTACCACTACTAACAATAATAAAGACTCCAAGACTAATGAACTCAGCATTTTATTTACTGGGCATTAATATAAATTATTCTTAACTTTATTCACTTATAAATTCAACAAGTTATTTCTTGGGTGTCTACTTCTGAGACTCATAAATGGCTCAAGAGTTCACTTAGCAAGTGTCAGCCTTAACAGAAAGGGTGAGACTGTGGCAGGTCATTTTGGTTATGTCTCATTTGACCAGGCCAACACAGACACTGTTGTTCTAGCACATGAAAACCAGAAACAATTTTTTTAGCTTCATTATGGTATCAGAACAACAGTGCCTAAAATTATATCAAATTGCTACATTTCATCTTTGTTTAATAAAAGATTTTGGTTTGCTATCCCCCCTAAAAAAAACTTGAGCATACACTTAAAGGAACAAAACATCTCTCTCAAAACCTTTCTTTATAGAATATAAATGATAGCTCCATTCAAAACATACAATGGGCAGTAATGTAAGATAATCTTATCTGCAACAGTGAGAAGAGAAAGAAACTAAATCAACAATGGTACCAGATCAACTGAAAAGGGAAATGAGTTGATGTTTTATTGTATTTTTTGCTTCTATGATAAAATGATTGCTGACCCACAAAAACATAAAATTAGCAAATATAAAAATGAATCATCCAAATATGTCCTGCATGAAATTCTAAATAACAAGATTTCAATTATGTGCTGAAATTGAGAAATAAGTTTTTTAATCTTCTCAGACATTAAGAAACCCCCAAAAGAGAAACAAACACCACAAACAACTACTTTTATAAAAAGCTGTTATCATTATCCAGTCTTGAATCTAAAGCAATATTTCAATTGGTTCCCAATGTTATTATCTAATTTTTTGTCAAATATTTTATGAATGGTTGCTGTCATAAAATATCTCAACTGGTTTATCATTAAAACTATAAAACTATAAACTGTGTCATTAAGCCTATGTTATCAAACACTGTTTGACATCAGATATAATCTTGATTAATTTCTCTTTTTACTTCATTAGACATACCCAAAATTCTAATTTTGGATATAGTGACTACCATATTCTTCAGACTGTAAGACACCCTCCCCTCCCCTCCCCCCCCATTTGGGAGGAATAATGGTTGTTAATGCTGCTGTTGAGTTCTGTTTGCATTTACATTGGTGAAATAATGTTATTTATGTTATTAAATATTTACCACATTTTTTGCTTCAAATTCCCCCCCGCCATTTTCCTCCTCTAAAACCTAGGTGTGTCTTATGTCTGAAAAATATGGTACTTCCATCTCAAATTTTTCTTCTCCTATCTACTTAGACACAAGTTTTCTACATAGGTTTGAAAACCAAGGGCTGAGATGTAACTCACCATTGTAGAAACATTTATAATTGAACAAAGGACTGCTTGAGCAGGTTATGACAGTACAGAAGGTGATAAATGTGGAGCTTAGTTGTAAAGAGATGGCTTCTGAGGCATCAAGCTTCACTGAGCTTTCGCAACCTGCTCAGAACTCCTTAGGTTATGAACAGGAGTCCACCTTCAAGAAGGTATCGGCTTAGTCCATCACTACGAAAAATATTCACTCCTGAAGCTGTTTTACAGAAATAGAAGAGTGTTCCTCTTACAATTCTGTGATGAGAGTGTATTATTTAGCCCCTAGGAGTTTTCAGATTATGGATAACTATAGCTTTTGCATGGGCTCACACCAAAATATACAAAATGCTCATAAAAATTACAAAGCACAAACCAAACCTTTGGACTATGGATTATCTCATTTGGAACCATGGGCAGTTATGCATGAATATATAAGCATAAGCATCACACTGGTTCCTTTTACATATGTAGCAGTTGAAATGCAAGCAGCATATCCAAAAATAAGACCTCATTAGTATAAAGAGGACAGAATTTTTTTGTCCCATTCATCTGTTTCTGTCGTTGACATAGTATCATACCCTCACAGTCCACACTGATCACTTCTACTGTGATAATGTGGCAGGTGAAGCCACCCCCACTTCCAGCTGCAGGCCGCCCCCACATACACACACAGTCAGCAGCACTGCAGAAATGTGGCTTCAACACAGCTACGGCACACCTCTGCTCCTCCTTGTAGGAAAGAGAAAAGACCTGAAAGGGTCGATCCTGAAATCAGCATTAGGAATCCATTTCTTTACTTTCGGAAAGTGGAACACCGCCATGCGTTGGTTCTCGAATGGGAGGCAACAGGGAGGTGATGGGAGCTCAGGAGGTGACGGAGGGGGAATGAGGCCTGAGGGAAGCACTTAGCGCAGTTATAAGTGACATAAAGGGACTGTCATATGTGAGAAAGTGAGAGAAGATGTGGGTGTGCTATCAGGAAACTGAGGGGCAGGACGCTGAAAAGACCAGAAACCATAAAGAAAAGCTGCAAGTTGGAGCACCACGAGGAAGAGACACTTCTATAAAAAGAACAAAGAAAGCATTCCTTACGAAAACTTCACCCTTTGTTACCAGCGGTGCGATTCCTGACACAACACTGATGGGCTGGCGTCAGCTAACCGTTGTTGTTTGTGCTGTTTGTTTTAAATAAAAGCCCATCAAGAATTCTGCGTGGGGATGATAACTTTAGCTGACTTTTTGCTGTTGATTAAACACTAAACAACATTATCTTTAAGAAAAAACAACACTCTTTCTAAAGATATAAAGATTATATGGAAACAATGGATTTTTGTCAAAGACACTAAGAGTAATTTCATTTTCCAAGAGATTATATAGTATCACTTGAAAGGGTTGACAAGTAATTTTTAAAATAAAATATCTTAAGAAATATTTGCATAAATACACAAAAGTGCAGCAAGGTAAAAGGTAACAACATAATTCTTAAAAAGGTGTATATGAAAACCTAAACATAAATATAAACAAGCTTATTCTGTTACATTATCACTTTCTTCAAAAGTTTTCACCCAATTTTATCCATAATATAAGTATTATGCAAAGTATTCTACTGAACAGATACCTCTCAGTGATCTGGGGATTACACGTGAGCTTTTCTAATCACATCATCACTTTCCTGAACAAACATTTAAAAATGTAACTTCACTTCTTGGCATTTGTTGAATGAATGTGAAAATGAGTCCAAAGCCTCCTATGTGTTGGTACCCAGAGTATGAGATATGTCTCCAGCAGTCAGCCATCACGATCCATTGAATAAAGAGCATTTTTAACACTGGTCATATATTTCAATCACAAGGAGATCTTAAAAAGAAAAAAAATGTCTGCATGCCACTCTATTTGGAAAGCCCCTCAGAGATTCTTATGCATGGTCCTGGCTGAGCACTCCTTGGACAGCATGCTGTTAACTGTTACCCCAGACTTACCAGCGTTTTGACTTTCCCGACACCAGCGGTTTTAGAGAAGTGGCGTGTGCGAGCACACGCATGTGTGTGCACATCACACACATACACACACAAACACCCCCGACTATCTACCCATCCATCTACTTTAGCCAGCATTTAAATAAATTCTGTTTAATTCTGTTTTTATAAATTTTGAGATATAATCTCGTGACAGTTTTTAGAAAAGATTATAAAGTGATGCCAAATATTACATAGCAACTGGCTTAACTATTACAAGACTCTTTGCTTTACAGCCTGCTGTGTGGTTATTACAAAAAGAAAATTTGATTTGGACTCGAAAGACCTGAATTCATTTATCTGCTGCGCACTCTTGGTACCATCATTAAAATTCTCTAGGTTTGAGTTTACCCACCTATAAAAGAGTACTATTAATTCCAAACTCATGCAAGTGTTGTAATGATTGAATTAAGGGTATTAAGTGCTTTTAAGCAATACAGAGAACTATGGAAGACAAGCACCCGAATTTCCCCTTTTAGAACTAGAAATTCCAAACATAACCTAATCTATTACTATAGCTCTCCGAAGTGACTTCATTTACTGAATTCAGCATAA